AACTTAAGGTACAACTCTGCAAGATCATATCTTAAAAKACAAACACATATATCAGTATAAGCACAAGGTGCAGCTGTAGTGCGCAACGTTGTGCGAAGCAAGATTTTAAAGGTATGTTACAGGAAACTATTCCTGCAACAATGCTCCAAATGGACCCTTCTCTAAAAGAAGTTGGATGCATGATAACTCATTGAAAAAATAAAACAACAGAAATCTCACTTATTCTCGATGTGACGGATCTGTGACATTTCTTTCGTATTTCCATGTTAAATTAAGGTCAAACGTTGAACTTCACATGAGTCGAACCTAATGACATCAAAGACGACTGCCTTTGTATCCATTGTTTCAATTAGGATCGGCTCATGTGAAATTCGACGTTTGACCTTAGTCTTAACCTCGCATTCAAGACAGTTTTAAGAAGGATCCATTGATCTTATTCTTTTTGGTGTCAATCCCWAGAGAATAAGTCTTAGAGTCTTTGTTTGAGTTGTATTCAAATTCATGTGCTTGGCGTGTCTAATGACACGTGATTTGAAATGGGTAAACATTGCACCAAGACAAATAAGAGCGAACATTGAACCAATGCAAATAAGAGCGAAGTTACAGGTCGTTCTCACACGATAAAAGTAAACTAGTTGAGTGCAACGCTTCAGTAATACAATTCGTTTCTATTTCAACGACGTAGCACACAACCATTGCAGAGGTAGGTTAACAATAACGGACTCAAAGGACTCTTCAAGATTTAATGTACGGACAAACCAATCGCGTCGGTGGCGGATTTAGGGGGGGGGGGGTTCATTGGGTATCGGCTGGTACCTTGGATTTTTTATATTTTTTTAAATAAATAAATAAAAGTATGGTACTAATTCATGAGATTTAATATGAAGTGGGACTGGTGGATAGGTTATCCTTATCAGGAGCGTCCCTAGGCCAGTGATTAGCCTCATGGGAAAAATGATGATGCAAGAGAACGTTATTGTTGTGCCGAGATTTGCAAAAATGAACCCCCCCTCTTAAAGTCCTGGATCCGCCACTGCGCGTTCATTCTTAGCAAGAAAGACAATCAAAATAAAGAAACTATGAGTTCATTCACCTGAGAAAGTTCTGCTGTCCACTTTTAAGAGCCGCCTCATAATAGTTGATAGCCTAAATAAAAAATATAGTCACGGATGAATAGTTTTGACCGTATATGTGACTGAGTTCGTACCGCGAGCTTTTCACAGTCATACGAAAACTGCTCTAGTGTACGTTTCTCATTCATACCAGAACCGCACTTTAATATATCTTAAATACTTACATCAACAAAATTTCATTTTCAATACTCAAATACTGAGACCTAAAAAACTTAGATCAGCATTTTTTTTACACAGGTATGTGTGACTTTACTATTTTTTTATTAAAACATACCATGCATATTTATAAATGCACGAGGATTTTTCGCAATGAAACCTCCGGAAATGAATATGAGCCGTTTCGAAGGACAAATTTGGACCGAGTTCGCATTACAGTGCATTGTAAAACTCTTTTAAGGGAAATATGGAAATCTTGGAATCTTGGAATCTTGGAATCTTGGAATCTTGGAATCTTGGAATCTTGGAATCTTGGAGTCCCACAATGCAATGTAATGCCAACTCGGCCCAGTTTTCTCTCAACATCGGAACGGCTCATAGATGTCAGTTTATTAGGTTTACCTTTCCATAGTGATGTGTCTTGACATAGGCTTGTCCTATCTTACTGGCTAGGGCACCGTCACGTGGATTCCTTTTCAAAGCAGATTCGTACACTTCAATGGCTTTTTCTGGCTATTTAGTAGAAAATATTAAAAATATGTTACACACTTCAATGGCTTTGTCTGTTTATTGGTAGAAAATATCAAAAGCATGCCATACACTTCAATGGTTTTCTCTCGCTATTGGTAGAAAGTATCGAAAATATAGAATACACTTCAATGGTTTTCTCTGGCTAATGGTAGAAAATATCTTTAAAAAATCAAATACATTTCTAAAGCCTTTGTGATGTCTTCGTAAGGCGTATCTAGTGTCTAGAACTTTTCTAATATTCGTACTCAAATGTTTCCCCCTCAAAATCTAAACCGATTTTCGTGTTAGATTTTAAAGTTTTCAAGCAGCCAATTCATTTTTTGAAMAATTTGGCGCATGCRCATGCGAATAGGATTAAAGTTACCTCTTGGATACTCATGTAGGCGTCTCCTAGCAACAGACACGTGTGAGGGCTTGGGTTCTTATCAACAAGCTCCCTGTAAAAACAAAGAATGGCCAGAAAATTAAGAATACATGAAACAAGTTTAGAAAAGGGAAGGATGTAGAGACTACTAAAAAATCAACTTCTAAATTCTAATTCGATTTACCGGCTGCCTTATCAATTGGGTTGCAAGGCCTGTTAGGCATTAAGCCGTCTACCCAGGAGTGGTAAACGCATTAGAAGAAGCACAGTGGTGTAGAGGTTAGAGCACTCGCCTCTTAAC